CCACCACACAGAAGACACGCACACAAATACGTACATTGCCTCTGTTGCCGCCGAACTGCAGCGTGGGTGAGGGCAGGATGCCCGCACTCTTCTCGCATACAACCGGTGCCGGCGCGATGGTCAACCCCAACTTCTTGCACATAGCGTTGTTTTTATTAACCTCGTCGGCCAGCAACTTGACATTATCCGCGATACGCTGATATCGCATAGCCGCCGGTACAGCCGCGTGCACGAGCACAGAAGCGGTCTGATCGGGGTTCAGGGCTCGGCGTACTTGTCCTTGGGGAATGGAGCACATCTCAATGGGGATTAGGATGGGTTTGGCCTTGGACCCTACGACGATACACGGCAGACGGCTTTGCTTGAGTACGACTTTGTATGCCTGCGGGAAAGGGATAGGTTTATTGGTGTTAGTATGACAATCGTAATCTGTCACTCACTATATAATATGGAAACGATCTGAAAATGACCTAAGATGAATTGAAGTGGGCAGCCAGCCAGATATTGAAATTCTACTGCCTACAAAAACTTATTTGATACTACAAGCAAGGCGTGCGTGCACACAGACAACAAACCAACAAACCAACACACCTCCTTGAAATACTGAGCCGTGCTGATCTTCTTCGTCTCGCCGTTAGGCTGTTCCCAGTCGAAGGTGTGGTCCGCCGCAGACTTGGTAGACAGACCTTTGGCCTTGTACTTGCGGCTGTATCCCAAATGTTCGGTACCGAACTGTATACCCTTGATGCTTTCATCGGCCATGCGGAATACGGGCGAGCGCCCATCAGCCAAGCCACGGGCAAGCTGTGATTGCAAAGGAGTGAGAGGACAGATGAACAGACATTGATGGGAAAGTATCTGCATAGTTTGGGATACTGTGTATATATTTTTTAAGGTTTTTATACAACTATATGGTAAAACGAAGAACTGATAGACAGGAACGTGCGATGTGCACCCCTGAATGACCAGGCTGAAACGCCAACGTAGAATGAAACTGCGCATTTACTATACGTGGGCGGGGAGATGTGTGCACTAATGAGCATAAATAATACACATATTAGTACATCTTCGTGGAAAACAATTGAAAGACCTTGGACTATTCATATCAAGTACACCGTCGTGAACTATAATCAAAGAAATCCGAAGGCATTCCTATCAAGATACACTCCGACATACCTCGTCGAGACTGCGACAGTTTGTTGCGCGCTGCAGGTAGTTCAGGACTGGTCCAGGCTGAGGTGAAGCGGCCACCTGAGAACGAAAGAAAATACACATGCAACAATATGGTCAATGAGACAATCTATAAAAACGCAGTTGTACTGCAAAATAAAACCGCGAGTCCCAGGGACCGGTGTTATTCGGGTGAGTGAAGTTGGGATAGGCCGATGTGGGGTTGGGATGTCGCTGAGCACTTTGAGCCGAAGGTGAATGAGAACAAACCGCAAACTCGACCATACATGCGACTAGGCACCGGTGTTGTACAAAAGCACTGATTGCCATCTACACCCCACACACAATCCATCAGCACCTCAGACCAGTCAACCCCTCCCGTGGACCGCCCGAGGATAAAGCATTCGGGTGGACACGAGTATGGTAGTAACGGCGTGCAACAGAGACAGTTTATCCACCTACGACACACCGTCAGCTCCAACTTGGATATACTTGATAATGAGCGACGCTATGGACGTGGTTTTACACAAATATACTACACATGCTGCGCAAGCCAGATCTTGTTTTCTATCCCCTCAATTCCGCACAATGCCAGGCTACTTCCACTCAAACTACCACACACTACAAATACACGTACACATCATATGCTGTTTAAACCCGTTATATCGCTTACAAGCGTTATATCACTTAAAAGCGTTACATAACTTAAAAGTGTTATATCACTTAAAAGCATTATATCGCTTAAAAGCGTGTCCCGTGCACAACCCCACCACATCACGGCCTACACCACTTACCACAGCATCCACATTGATGCATTCTCCGGCCAGACATATACGCACAGTCGATGTGATACCGTACAGAGCAAAGTAGCCGCCCCCGATATGGCGCTGGTCCGTCCATTCTGGAGACAAAAGAGTCGCGTTGGAGACAATCCACTTGTTGCGTCGTGCCAGCTCGAGCATGGGCGCACGCATGATCACATCCATGGCACTCGAGTCCTCGGATGGCTCTAGGGGAGAGTCCATTTTCAGCGGGAAAGACATGTATTTTCCGGTTGGGTTGATTTGGATCTGTGCAGAGAGGAGAAATGGGCGCATACACAGGTTAGAATATGCGGTTCCTGTAGATTTGAATGAAAGGGCAGAAAGATGGAGTATCCGGTCCTTACATTGCTAACGAGAGAATTATTATAGCTTGAGTGTCGCAAGTTCGAGCCCGAGATTTGATGCTGCTTCTCTCATAGACGAGACGATCCTCCACATGAATGTGTAGACAACCTCTCCGTCAGTGCATCATGTGGACGAGGTTTTTTCTATCCCCCAAGAATGACACAAGATGTGTACGTAGGTAAAACTCTCGATCCCACCTGGTACTGGATAACCTGCACTGCAGTATTCACCTGGTACCAGCAATCAACCGGAATCTGATCGAATACCCGTTCCGTTCACAAGCCTGCAACAGAACTATTTCCGTTCACAAGCCTGCAACAGAACTATATGCACAACGGGGGGAAAGGCATGCTATGAAAGATATAGACAGGCACAACCATACACTCGCACGTCTTCGAGGGAGATGGCGTACCTTTAAGAAACAGACACCCGGACGTTTGTTGGGGTGATCAACTACTGTGGTAACACCTTCCGCGGGCAGCTTAGCAAGTGAATAGAGGGTAGAGCGACCGTCATACACGAACAAAGGGAAGTCCTTCTCCTTCTCCGACACAGCCTCCATCACAAGACGATTGAATGGAATATCGGAGGTAGAGTTGAGATCAATCTCAGTCAATTTCTCCATATTGTCGCTGTAGCACTCGCTGAAGTGTACAGCATTCTGGTAGACACACGCCTCCTGCACCTTCATTCGGTATATATTAGATATAACCTTCATGCCGGGCACTAACTTTCCAAGGGGTACCATGCATTTGGAGGGACCAGCTGTGAAAAAATCAACACAAAGGTCTCATAGATCAGAAATTGCTGTTTATGATGAAAACTGCATATAGTAACTAATACACAGGCATAGCAAATACGATCCCAGACCCAATTGATCATAATCAAGACATCTAGATAAGTTTCTTAACCAAAATGGCCGATCTGCATACTATAAATATATGTGTGTGTGTGCGCGTATATACATGTACATATACGTTTGCGTAATATATACATTATATACATACATATACCAATACCCGACCCCTGTATATAAAAATATATATAAATAATGTGTGTGTGTGTGTGTGTGTGTGTGTGTACGTG